TCTTTCAGACTTCTCGGCGATGGGTTGAATTGTAAATTAAACGCCATAATTCTCTCCGCCTTACACTTCTCTCCCGCTGTCACTCCCAAGAAATCTTCAATTTGATAGACCCCCGTATAATTCTCTTCAAAATGTTGGTCGTTCGCAACTTCTATATCACCAGACAATAACACTCGGAACGACTGGAAGAGTCCAATAAATATTTTCGACTTCGCACACTCAATCGAAATGCTCTTCCGTGTATTACTCATCTCAAACTTTAAAAACCCTCTCCCGTCATATAAGAAGACGTAGTGCCTCCCCTCACTTATTAAGAAATGTGAGTTCGATTGTGAACACTCGGGGATTGGACACTCTACAAATATCCCTATCACTCGATTTTTCGTTGTTTGGAAAACAATAAACACGTGGTCATGTGTGCGCAATCGTTTATTAAATATTTCGGGATTAAACCCGTTGATTTGAGAGTCATAACGCATTCTGGGTGTCATTGTGATGTACTATACTTTATAGTATTTTAATAGCACGTACAACTTGATTCAATGTATTATATTTATAGTTACTATTTACTTTAATATATAAATACCGTATAAATACTGATTTATAGTTTTTTTACTATTAATGTAATTTAAAAATAATATACTAGAAATATATAATAAATATATTATATTTATAGTATGCATGAAGTCAAACAGGAAAACAAACTCTCCATAAGGTAAACTCTCCCAGTCAGAGAAGGTATTAAACCCTTTTGTTCTGATTAATTCATCAAGAAATCCTTTGTATTGGACTTTTAAATACTTTCCGAATTTGTCTTCCTTTTCATTTATATCGAAATTATGTGTATCTTGCACATCTTTTTTTAGTTGAGGTATTTGATTTTGTTGTGTTTGTTTATCACTTTCTATTTGCGTTGTGCTATTTATAACTTTCCTCGTTCTGGAAAATCCAAGAGCCAAGACCTGAACAATCGCAGCACTCGACTCAAATTGAGTGTTTGGTTCTGCAAGATTGCTGTATTTTTTAGATTGAGAAGATGAGTATTTAATAGATGAATTTCCATAAATGGTGAATCCGTGGCGGATTTGGAGCAGTTTCTCCTCCTCTGGAGGTACTTTTCCATCAGTTTGAGGGAGAATAACAAGACTTGAATCGTTCGGGTCATTCAATCTCCACTGCATGAAACGTTTTGAATCACCGCACGTTCCCGCAAATTTGAACAAAAAGTGTGCTTGATCTTTTTTCACCTCAAAGTGAGTGATTTAAGACAAGAATCTGGAGATTGAAAAACAGAGAAGTTGACTATATAAAGGAAAATAATTGAAAGAAAATTCATCTGAAAACAAACGATCTGGCCCTTCCCAGGTTTGGAAGGCGGAACGCGGACGGAGTTAAAGGAACCAAAAACGGTTTCATCGCTTTGGAGAATTGCGAATAAAACGTTCTTGTGTCCAGAGACTTTCTCGCTTAAAATCTGGTTTGCAAACCCGTCTGTTGAAGAGTTAAAAAGAACTTCGAAATTCTGGCATTTTGTAGCGCGGAGGAGCGAAGATATAAACAGTGGATTCTTAATGATGTCTGTCAAGTCTTCATTGGAGTCCTCGATAGTTTCGTCGGGGATATCTCGTTGTGTGACAAAGTCAATACACGTTTGGTTTGGTGCGTCGAAAAGAGGGTTTTCAGTCAGAATACTTGCGGACTCCGATTTTGAAGGGGTTACAATTTCCCCTTCAAACCCACTATAATCAAACTCTTGTGAATTGGTCAAGTTTTGTGGTGATTTTTTCTTATTTTGTTCCGAAAAATCCGAAAGATATGTCTCGCATACTTTCATTCTTGTTTCCATCGCACTGATTTTCTTTTCCAATTCGGTAAAGTTCGTTGTGAGAGTTGTGATGTCAAATATGATTTCGGAAATGACTTTGAATATCGGCTGTTTCACTTTGTTTGATTCGGCATAAAACATCAACTTTGCTGTATTTGCTTGCAACCGTTCGGTTAATGTGTCATTGTTTTCCATGTCAATTTTGTGAAATTGAGATAACCCTTTTTGTCATACGAAAAATTCAGTTTTTAAGGCTTTTTTGATCAAAAAAGTTCATTTTCTTTGAAAATTTTGTATTTCGTTTATTGTTAAAAAATTGGCCTTAAAACACGCATTTATTTGGGTATTTTTTTTCTCAAATAGTGTCAATTTATTCATTTTACATTTATTATGTAA